CAGCCACTTCTTACCTTTGTAGCCCCCTCATTTTGGTTAGCCAATGTCCAAGTTAGCATGACTTTTGAAATGAAATTCATCTACTATTTTGGGCAATTGGAAGATGGTCCAGGGCAAGCTATTGACATAGTTGTGGCCTGGAATCCATCCAGACTGGTGAGAGTCCTAATGGAATCCTGCTGTAGCACTGAAGGATAAGCACTGGACTGCTAACCACAAGGTCTGTGGTTCAAACCCAGCAGCCATTCCTTGGAAACCCTACAGAGGGTCGCCTTGAGTAGAAACTGACTGGCTGGTACTTAACAACAACAAGGGAAAGTAGAGAGTAAGTGGGCACAGACTCTGAGTGTAGAGAATGGCTGCATCCTGTTTTAGTTTTTCTTAAACTGATACCTTCTATCAACACAGAGATGGACAGAAAGAACAAGTGGTCTCAAGAAAATGGCATCCTCTCCAACTTCAGGACGAAAAGATTACAAAGCCATTATTACTGTACCCAGTAGGATTTAAATTACTCTACAAGGGCAGATGTAAAATAAATAAAGGTAGACTAGGCACATTTTGAAGAGAGAGAGAGAGAGAGAGAGGACATTTATCCCTAGGAGTAGGGGCTAGGATACTATGAAAGAAGATATTTCTTCAAGCTTTCTCAATTTTGCTTAAAAACACATACTAATTTTGAATTCTACTCTGTGATATGTTAGTGTGTGTTTTAAAATAGGGCTTATGTTTAGAATCACTTGCTAGTTAAATCTCTTAATTTCTCTCCCATAAAGTCTTGAAGCAAAATTGATGTTTCCGTGCATGAATGTTCTTGGTGTGTCTTGATATAACACTGTCTCCTTCCGGGATCCACTGGATCCAGTTTTAGAAATAGGATCTAAATTAGAGGGTTACTCTGTTCCTAGTAGAGTGATTCATGACCTCTTTCTTTTTTAGTATTTTAAATAGCAAAAGTTTACGTAGCAAATTAGCTTTCCAGCTAGTAATTAATACATAAATTTTCCAATGACTTTGTGTGCAATCTTGCAATAAGTCAGTCCTCATCATTTCACCCCCATTTCCATTTGTTTGGTTTCCTTGTCTTTCCTGCCTTCTTGTCTTTGGTTTTGGGAAATGTTGCCCTTTTGGTCATTTATTGCTTAGTGTTCTAAGAGACACATTTTCCCTAGTGTTAATTTTCAATTTAAGGGCCTCTCTGTTATTTGACTGAAAGCTGGCCTCTGGGAATGTCTTCAGTTTCAAGTTAGGGTAATAATCTCTTTCAGATTAGTAAATCTGGTCTTTTTTTTTTTTTTTTAAGTTTGAATTGTGTTCAATACTTTTCTTATTCTTCTAGCTAGGACCTTCTGTTGTGTCCTGATAAAAATAGTTGATAGTGGTAGCTGGGCACCATTTAGTTTTTCATTCCAGGAAACAGGACCATTACTCCTTTGGACTAATTGCTTTCTTGATTATTCAATTTTAATCATTCTCTTTTTCTGTAAGTGAGAAGATACCAATCGTTGCTTCTTAGATGACCATTTGCAAAATTTTAAGATGCCAGATTCTATTTACAGACTTTTGTTGTTGTTGTTAGGTGCCATCGAGTTGGTACCAACTCACAGTGACCCTGATCACAATAGAATGATAAACTGCCCGGTCCTGTGCCAACCTCACAATTGTTGCTGTCCTTGAGCCCACTGCTGCTGCCACTGTGCCAGTGTATCTTGTTGGGGGCTTTTCTCTTTTTCGCTGATGCTCCACTTTATTAAGTATGATATCCTTTTCTAGGGACTGGTCCCTTCTGATAGCATGTCTAAAATTATAAGAGATGAAGTCTGGCCACCCTGGCTTCCCAGGTGCATTCTGGCTATGCTTCT